GTTTGGATTTTCTGGAGGCCATGTTGACAGTACCCACCAAAATTTAAATTCCTGTATCTTAAGCATTCTCACTTTTAGAGATGAATATATTCTAAACCGTTTCAAGAGTTAGAATATAATCAAGACCTAATGATATTGGAAGAAGTCCACTGAAGGCATTGGTGAAAAACACGGATCCAGGAATTGACAGAATATTAGTTCAGATATTTCAACAAGTGGATTCAACAGTGGGAAGCAATCACTCATTGAAGCTACCTGGCCAACAGTCTGTAAGAAATCCATTATTTATGTCCATTCAAAAGAAAAGGGGCCAACTGAATGTGGAAATTACTGGCAGTATAATGAAGATCACACGAAAGTAAAGTTTTGCTGGAGATAATTGAAAAATGCTTGCATCAATGCATCTACAGGGAACTGCTAGAAATTATGTTGGATTCTGGAGATGTGGAGCAATGTATGTCATTGCTGGTGTCAGATGGATCTTGGCAGAAAGCAGAGAATACCAAAACTGTTTACTTGTGCCCAACTGACTATGCAAAGATCTTCTACTAGGTGAATTAAATAAATTATGGATAATATTCTAAAGGATGGGAGTTCCAGAATAATTATGCTCATGTGGAATCTGTACATAGACTGAGAGGCAGTTGTTCAAGCAGAACAAGGGAATGCTGCATGTTTTAAAGTCAAAGAAGGTATAAGCATATATATATATTTTCACCATAATTATTCAATATGCATGTTGAGCAAATAATCTGAGAAAGTAGACTATATGCATATGAGTGGGGCATCAATATTGGAAGAAATGTACTAACTACTTGAAATATATAAATAACATGACCTTATTTTCCAAAATTGAAGAAAAGAGGACTTGAAGCACTTACTGATGATCAACAACTCTAAGTTAAATGTAAAGGAGACCGGAATCCTCACAAAAGGGTCAATAAGCAGTATATGATAAGCAGAGAAAAAAATGGAAGTTTCAATGATCTCATTTTACTTGTATCCACAATTAATGCTTCTGAAAGCAGAAGCCACAATATCAAATGACATCGGACTGGGGAGATTTTCTGCAGGAGACCTCTCTTTAAAGTGTATACAAGCACAGATATCACCATCATTGCTAAAGTGTGCCTGATCCAAACCATGGTATTTTCAATTAGTTCACGTTTATGTGAAAAAGAAACAATCAGGGAGGAAGATTGAAATGTTTCTATATTTGAATGATTTGTGTTGTTGAAGAATATTGAATGTACCATGAAGTGCCTAAAGAATAAATAAATCCACAGTGGAAGAGCAGCCAAATTATTCCTTAGAAGAGAGATGGTTAGATTTTGTCTCAAGTACTTTGGGAATGTGATCAGGATGGACCAGTCCCTGGAGGACATCATGCTTGGTAAAGTCAAGGGGCAGTAAAACAAAGACCTTCAAGCATATGGATTGAAATAACATCTACAACAATAGGCTCAACCGTTACCAGGATGGCACGGGTCTGGGCAGTGTTTCTTTCTGTTGGGATCTCTATGAGTCAGAAAAAACTTGAAAACAATAAGTGGACACAACAAAGATGATCAACTTTGTTTATAATAAGCTATATTAATTTTTCAATTAAAATATACATAAGGTACTCACAATTTTCAACAGCATGCTATGAACATATTGCAAACTGACTGTTAATGTATTGGGTGGCAATCAAATAATTTTATTGGAAATTCTACCCAGTAGCTCCAGGCACAACCTAAAAATTGTTAAGTGGTTATTATTTGCTTAATTAGATCCCACAACACATGGCTAAATTCAGTAAATCAATATGAAACCTCTCCATTTGGGGATGTGAATTGTTTTGGATTTCAAAATACTTCGATTAAGTTGAGGGCCCTTATTATGAAAATAACAGATTTCATTTCCTCTCTAATTTTTTAATTCTTGGCAATGCAAACTTAATTTTTCTATTGAAATGTTTGAAAAGGAAATGAGAATGAAAACTGAGTTTTATTTTCCATTGCAAGTACATTTCCATTTTTTCTGGAGATTAGGCTGTTGTGAAATCAGGATATGGCTTAGAAAGGAAATAATACAGGAACGGGGCCTTTCTTTGGCTTTGCATTCGTAAACACAAGAACCGAAATCACAATATGGTGAGAGAGTGTTTTAACTTCTTTAACAATGCCTGTTTAAGACCAGTGTTTTGGGGGATTGTTCAGGAGTAGTGATGCCCATACACGCACACCACCTGGTGGGCCCCAGTGGTAACACCAGTGATTGTGCCTTCCACATGCCTGCACTCTTGCAACTTGGGTGGCCCTTGTTATCAGCGTTGAAGAGCTCATCTTAATAAAGAAAATCATATTCAGTATGTGTAACTCTGCTAGTTCGTCTCTCCAATGATAAGAGATGGATTAGGCAGTTGCCAAATTGTTATATTTGGTCAAGTAAGGAGATTATTACAGGAAGTCTAAGACGTTTTCATTTATTCTTTATGGAGGAGCAAGGATTCTACTATAAAGAGCTGAAATTTTAAACCATGTCTTTTAAAATTTTGGGAAATTCATGTAGGACAAGAATGTGCACATACTATAATAAATATTACAGCTTATCCAGAACTTGCAATGGTGAATATTTTTAATACTACACACACTGAATATTTATAATTATTATTAAGAGAAATGCAATAGTTTAAATAAAGATAGTTTATTGTGTGCATACCCTCTAATAGCATGTCTCTTCCTAATTACCCTATGTCAATTACTTCTATTAAATTGGTTAATGTCATTGTGGTCTATTTTGTATATTTTTATCCTCCATTCAATTCAGTAAATATTACTGACTACCTTCTCTGTGCCAAGCACAATTCCACACTCTTAGGTAGATTAGAAGAGCAAAATAGACATAAATCACCCTCTTCATGGAGTTTACATTTGAACAAAGGGAGACAAAAATGTTTTTTATAATTATATACAGTACAGTGTACATTGATCGAAGGCAGTTATACAAACAGAACAAGAGAATACTGCATAGTTTAAAATCAGGAAAGGTGTGCATCAGGGTTGTATCCTCTCACCATACTTACCCAATCCGTATGCTGAGCAAATCATCACAGAAGCTGGATTATATGAATAAGAATGTGGCATCAGGATGGGAGGAAAGTTTATTAGCAACCTGCAATATGCAGATGACACAACCTTGCTTGCTAAAGATGAAGACAACAACATTTGATGAAACCTTACAATTCAATGCAAAGAAGACAAAAATCTTCACAAAATAGGTAACATCCTGATAAGTGGAGAAAATGTTGAAGTTGTCCAATTTCTAGTTCACGGAGTGAACTAGACTTTGCCATAAGCTCACCTGTAGCAGATCTGAGGAACTTTAATACCCATGGAACTTAAGGCTGAACGGCCCTGATGTTAGAAGAAGCCGATGACTGCCGCCCCAACTCCTGGAAATTGGATCACAATGATAAGAAGCTTCTGAGTTTCCAGCACACTTAGTTTGCTCCCTGGGGAAGGATACTTAGCATCAGATAATAAAAATGGCTATTTGTATTAAGCTGAGTAGTCAACGGATTTCTGATGGCATTTTTCACTAGCAAGGTATAAACACCCTTATCACCAGAGCATTGTTTTTAATGGATTTTGGAGCTCAATGGTTTTTGGTTCAGATATCTTGCTTGGAGGCTGCCCAGTGAATGAAAGCTCAGGACTACCATAGATTTGTTATGTTTATTCTCTTTGCTTTTTTTTTTAAATCGTTTTGTTAGGGGCTCATACGACTTTTATCAAAATCCATACATACATCAATTGTGTAAAGCACATTTGTACATTCCTTGCCCTCATCATTCTCAAAACATTTCCTCTCCACTTAAGCCCCCTGCATTAGGTCCTCATTTCCCGCCCCCGTCCCCGATCCCCCCTCCCTCATGAGCCCTTGATAATTTATAAATTATTATTTTGGAAGACCAAGGTAGAGAGAGAGTCTGGCCCCCTTCCAAAGGGAAAAGAGGAAGTTCCCAGAATCCTCATGAGAAGGCCACACCACACAGAAGCTTATTGACTATGACCTGATTGACAGGCTAGACTTTACCCTTCACTCATAATACCCTCATGTTGACATGAGATTATGCCACTACCACACTGAGGTTGTTTATAGCCTTGCTATCAGATAGCATGCATTGGATAGTGGATTAATGCAGTGTGGTTAGGATAAAATTTAATACCTTATCATTTGTTCTCCATTTTTGACCCATTTTAAATTTGTTCTACTTTTTATTATTTTCTGTTATCTTTACAATTGAGGTCTCTCTGTTTTCTTTTGTTAAAGGTGGTTTTTGTTTAGTTTTGTTTACTTTTTGTTTTTGCATATTGTCATCATATGAAATTCAGGATAGGTTAGTCCATAGAGTAAGCAGATTAATAAGTTTATAGGGGTAGAAAGTGAGCCATCTCAAATGCAGTTGGGGGTGGGAAGAATCTCATTTTCAGCAAGAAATATGAGCCAGCAGTGGAGCATGTCCTTTGGAGCCTGATCTCTTTGTATTCTAAACCTCCTTGATCCATGAGAGATTTCTGCTATGAGCAGAAATAGCAGAATGAGTAGCTAGAGCATGTGACAGAGCAGTAGAGTTCCCAGCCCACATTGCAAGTGTAGGTGAACGCTTTTAGGCAGGATGCTGACTTGTGGGTATGTAAGTGGGGGAGTTGGGTTTTGCTGATCAATGGAGTTGGAGCTAAGTGCCTTCGTGTTGAGTCTTAAAATGGAGTGGCATGCCCTTTGGTGATTTATTGGCATTAAAAGGGCTTTGTAATACTGCCTGGGCATGGTGGAGAACAGGCTGAGAGACTGAGTGTCAGAGAAAGGCCTGCCTATGGGCACAGCAGAGAAGAAATTGTCTTTAATAACTGTATCCTGGGCATTTCTTGCCTAATATAACCTTCTGTAGAAAATAATGTTGAGTATCTTCTGTAAGTGCTGTATGGCTCTTGCAGCTAAAAGTAGAGAGTGCTGTGCTCATTTCAGCAGCACATGTACTAAAATTGGAATGAAACAGAGATTAGTATGGCCTCCATACAAAGATGACATGCAAACTCATGAAACATTTTATATATATGTAGTAGAGAGTACTGTGGGAGGTGCAGCTGGTAGTTGGTATCAGAATTGGTAAGGAGGGTTTGGTGGTGGGGACAAGACTGACCTCTACCTGTGGCAATCAGCCTTGGGAGCTAGAGGAGGTCACATGTTGCTTTCAAACTGTTTTCTTCATAAGAAACCCTGCGTAACTTGCTTATTCAGCAATCTGCCCTGGGTTTCTAACTTAACCCAGATACTGGTTTTCTGGGGCTTTACTATGTATTCTGGTAACTGAAAATTGGATAGTGGAAGTTTGCTTTAGTTTCCTTTGTGAAGTAAGAAGAAAATTCATAAGCTGCCAATGGAGATAAGGGAGAAGATGTTAGTATTTTAGAGAGATAAGAAAATGTGAAAATAGCCCTTTGGGAAGCAGGATGAGTGAATGGAGTAATTAGAAGGAGAATGATTGGGAGCATCTGGGGGTTTGCATGTGATGTAGTCTTAAAGTTAAGGCTTGTTTCTCTTCAGCCATATTTAGCTGCACAAGCACAGGAGTAGAGAGCTGAATTCAAGAGAGCCACAGAACAAGCGACACAAAGCAGAAGGGCAAGAACATTGAAGGCATATTGATCTTGATTTTCACTTGAATGTAAATAAAGAGAATATATCAGGGACTTAGGTATACTAGTGGCATGGTACTAATATCACATGATTGGTGGTTCCAATGTAGGCAAAAGAGGCTGAAACTAGAGTACCAGAGAGACAGGTGGAGAAATAGAAACTTGGTAGGAGATCCAGGATGGCAGGCTAGGCAGATACTCCATCTAGATTCTCCACAACAAAACTCAAGAACCAATTAAAGTAGATATGGAGGACACTCCTGTAGCAGAGCTTCAAAGAGAGAATAAAGAAGTAGATCACATGTCAATGAAGGGAAGGCACTGTGAACAAGGAACAGTTACTGTGATCCAGTCTCCAGTACAGCATAGCCATTTTAAATTATTGCAAACAGCATTCCATTCCGAGCAGAAATGAAATAACCAGCTCTTTTTGCATGGAACTGTGCCATCAGCCATATGAGTTATGGGCAACAAGATGGCTATTTTCATCTCCAACACCCACCTAGTTTTGTCTTTTTGTTCCACTTTTCACACCCTTTTCAAACAAGCCTACTGAGCTGGGGTCTCTTCCCACATAACCTCCATGTTCAGTAGCACCCACTCTGAGTCCTCCACCTTATCCTCTGCTCTCACAGAAGGAGCACCACATCTCCACCACAGTAGCTAGCATTTGCACAGTACTTTTTAATTATACACTGTTCTCTCTCCCCACTCCTCTCTTTCTTCTTAGATCTCTTCTCTACCTCACCCTACCCCGCCCAATATTTTCTTTTCTTTCCTCTTTCCTCTTTTTTCTTCCTCAGCAAATGAGAGTCAGTGACACTACACTGCCACACCCACCACCCTTGTCACCCCATCATAAAGAAAGTTGCCACCATCAACAAGAGACCCACTGTATCGATGACAGACAGTGGTCATTACCCCTCCAGCTCACCATCACCTGCTCTGCAGGATCAGCACTTCCCCTCAGGGCCGCATTCCCACTTCCTGTCAAATCTACTCAGAAACAGGTGGTGAGAACCCACCCAAGTGCTGCCAAAATGACATCCGGAGTAACACGCCCACCAGTTGCCTGGACATATTTAAACAAAACAAAAAATCAGGGTGAAGCAAACCATGTAAGAAAAAATGAATACAAAACACTGTAATTTCTTAGATAACTTCAAATCACACATACACCACATGCAAAAAAACAAAACATGACAAAATAGCTCAAAGAAGTAATCAAAACACAAGGTTAGAAAATTATCCAGATGATGAAATGGTATTGGGACCAGCTGATAAGGAATTAGAAAGAATTATATTTAGGTACTTTCAGTGGATTAAGCTACAGAGAAAATCCTGGGCTGGGAGGGTGAGGGTAGGGTTTGGCAGAGAGAGAAAGCTATAGAATATTATTCTTCCAAAAAATAGAGCAAATCAACAAAATAAATGTAAAAATTGAAACAGTACAAAAACATTCAATAGAAATCCAGAAGACTAATAGCAAATTACCAGAAATACGAGGGAGTTTCAAAGTCTTTATGGAAAAATTTGCTCTCTTTTAATTCCATTTTCCTTGTACTTTTTGAAGACATTTTGTATACAACAATCGATGAGGACAAAGCAGTAGAATGAATGGGAAAGAAAACAAGCTCGATTGAAGTCCAATCTCTTAATGTTAATCTCTTAGAGGAGCAATCATAACATTGAAAAAAGAAAGAAATCCTAAGAATGATCTGATGCACTACCGAATACATCAATACTTTCCTCTTTTCTTATTCCTCATCAAGATGGAAGCTTTTTCTTTCAATAGTTTTATTTCTTTAATATATGTTTTATATCTCAAATACAAGTACAAAAATAACAGCACAAAATATATATTTAACAAAGAAATCATCAGTACAACATATGTGATAACATATATGATTGGAATTTCAAAATAGGAAGAGACAAACAAAAAATATTTTTAACGCTCCAGCCTTCCTAGAACATTGTCAAGATTTGTTGGAAGAAAAATTCAATGCTTTCACAAAATTGGAAAATATACTTTCAATGAGCCCCAAATAGGATAGCATCCAAAGGAAAATCTCCAACATATAATCAACCCCCCCCCCCAAAAAACAAAAAAACAAAGAATTCTGAAAGCAGCTTGGGAAACATAAAAGTTTCCTATACTGCAGAACCGAAAGACCCAGCTTTGATTTCTCAGCAGAAAACTTACAGACAAGGGGGTTTAAATGGAGAGAAAATGTTTTGAGAAATGATGTACAAAT